AATGTTAAGATCTCGGAAGTCGAAAGGTTAAAGAAGTTACCTTACACTTTGGTGGTTTTCCATTGCCATGGAAAGTTGCATCGAAGTAGAGATTACCAGAATATTGGTTAGCTTTGCTAAACAAACCCTACAGGGGCAGCGAAAATAGGCCAGCAAGGAGTATGGTTAAGGATGCAAACGATAAATACTTATTGCAAATGACTTAAAGAAATTAGTTTGGAGCAATAGAAAAACACCAAAGAGACAATAGTAAACAAAGAAAGAAAAGGGATGACCGAGGACTGAGAAGATTGACGCTGCTAATTGTAAACGGCTACAAAATATGTATTAGTGTGGCAAATTAGCAAAACACCAAACAGACTCTTGCAGAACCAATTGCAAGAAGAAACAAGGGTAGCTGAGAATGGATAAGATTCGTAACGATTGCAAACGACCAGCTCAGAAAATTTGGGCCGACTAATTTTTATCCGCTCTCCACAGAGATAAGTGATTTAAAGTCTGTTGTTTTGAATGAAATTAAATATCTTGAAATCGGTGCCGGTTAATTATCTGTAATTATTAAGTAGAACATGAAACAGATTGAATTGTTCTTTCAAAGCGAAAAAAGCAAAGCGTTCCGCCGTTGCCGGCTTCACTACGGATATTTGGACTATTTTTAAACGTGTTCAGTGAATGGCGCACTAGGAAGCTGTGGCACGCAAAAATTTCTCGCATTTTAACGGAGAAATATCAGAATTAAAGAACGATGATATATTTTGCAGAACGTGACGTTTTAGGGACCATATCTAGAACAAAAGAAAGGCCTTTCAAGAAATTACATAATTGCTCACTGTTCAGACGTTTAATTCGAAAATTAATTGATTATATTAGGAAATCGGTAATTAACACTTTGGTAAGAGGCTTAAAAAAGATTGTCGGTTCTTGTCTTACCAATTTTTACAGAGTGAAAAGTTAAACTCGCAGAGCCTTGGCTGGTTCGTTTTCAAGGGGTCTAATATCATGATGTTGAAGGTTGAGGATGTTTTTCAGGCTCACCGTGGTTAAATTTCTTAGATTGTGTGCAGATGTATGCAAATATCTTTAGGTTTTAATTTTAATTATTTCCGTGGCTCAATAGGCCTAGCAACCCGCAACTAATTGGTTTTAATATAGATTCCCTGAATTGGTAAAAAAATAAACCAGTCTCAAAACGGCTTTGAGAAAGTCACGCAAACAATGTTTAGTAGTGTGCGCGACATGTCCAACGAATGAACCGCTCCTTGCCGTAAGGAACCAGACGTCAAATAAACAAGGAATAGTACAAGGAAAGGTAGGCAAATTTTTCTCAAGATTTGACAGCTATGTAACTGAATATCGCATGAATCAGAAGCAAGATGAATAATTGTTAAGGTTAACCTCTCACCCTGAATGTGTGTATATGGTTAGCCTCTATTTTCTCTGAGATTGTAGTTACTGTTTTTCTTCGACCAACATTCCACCCGTGACTTCTGAGAACGACAACATCCCGTGATATTACCGGAAATAGTTGGTTTCTCCCCTGGAAAGTCGATATAATAACAATAACTCATCGGCAGACGGTCAAAATATCAAGCTTTTAATAATAATAAAACTATGAATAGATTTTGAATGATCAGTCAGTCTGAACTCCAACCTCTTACACTGCCTTATTCTGTTGCACTGGGATGCAGAAAGCTAACTGAGACATACGATAGCTGAAAAAACCTGTTTGAAACATTTATGTTAGAAACGATGCCAAATTTCACTGCAATTTACGGATAATTGATGTAATTCTCATGTTTCTTGGCATTATTGCCATAGCAATTTAAATACTCTGCAACGTTTACAGCGCAGAAAACGAGTTTCAACTGGATGACATCTCTTTCGTGAGCAAGTGAAATTCGCATCACGATATCATTAGTGATCTCACAGTCATCTTCGCACAGGTATCCCATTAAGGCATTTAACAGGTTACCCAACACGGTATAACTTTGCATTCTAAAACGTCGCGAGAAAATAATGAAATCATTGTTTTCTTTTGTAAATATAATTGCGCAAATGCAGTCAGGGAGGAAGGACTTCTTATCGCCTGGTACATGATTAATATTCAAGTAATCCTGGAAATAATATTTCTAAAGGGAAGCTGGACTTGAATGTATGGCGCATGATGTGCAATGTGTGCCCATACGTACGGGATTGATACCGGAATTTGATATCTCTTAATCAGACAATGCAACCATTGTTTTACATAAGGCAAAAGTATTTTCTCTAAACTCTGAAGAGATGCATTGACGGGAAGAAATATATGTCACTGTCAACCCCTTTGAAAGAAAAACAATGTCCGTCGTTAAGTTTGTGTGCATGCTTGCGTGAGTGGGGATACAGGAATGGTGTAGACAATGATAATCATCTGACACTTTCAAGGATCATGTGATTAAGTTTGAGCAAGGCGTAGATTGAATTCCTCAGGCTTTGTTGGCCTGTTAAGTGTTAGAAAAATGTAGAAATATTTCGTATCATTTAATGTTAATCCAATTCATGAAAAGACATTACAACATTTACGCCCCAAGCTGGACGAAATCTTATAAGTTCTTTCGATTGAAAAAACTTTATTTTCTAACACAAAAATATATTTTTTTGGAGTAATAAGGGAATCTGAAGGTCATCGTGATCGTTAGTTTGAATTAAATTTAATTTTTTTATTCCTTAGGGCTCTGGTTACTTCTTGCTTCATGAGTGCTTGTCATATCTCTTTTTCATTTTTTGATATTTAACATTGTCCTTCATGGGGTAGTATATCGTCGCAAAAAAACCAACAACAACTACAACAACACACGTACAAAAAAAAGCAACAAAAGAGAGAGACTCATTCTTTGACTCTTTAATTTTTGCTGGAAATGAAAATCTACATGACGTGATTCAAAAGCAGCAGAATACGCTTAGCGTAAAGTGATTGTGCCGTTATTCAAAAATCCATCGAAAATTTTCTAGACCTACTATCTAAATTGACCCTTTCGAAATAGTACACCGGCTTGCTGAATTCTGTGAGGAATTTCTATTTGTTAATCTGACCTTGGACAGAATATATAATATAAGTTTGGCGGGAGGTAAATCCTCTCTTAACCTGTCCTAAGAATCTTAAATCATGTGCTATCTTAAATTACAAGTATCATCAATTTTAATAAAATTAAGAAACGTTTGAAATTGTTACGAGATCATCTGCACTTACTAAACTGCTTGAATTAGTCTACGTTTTCGCTTGGGATCTATAAGTTCGTCTTAAGAATCTTAAATCACGTGCTATCATAAATTATAAGTATTATCGATTATCACAAAATTAAGAAACTTTTGGAATTCTTACGAGATCATCGGTACTTACTAAACTGATTGAAATAGTCCACGTTTTCGCTTGGGATCTATATGCTTACCATTTTAAAATCCAGAGACCACAAACAAGGGCATATTGAAGTGTGCAAATAATCAGAGGCATGGATACTCCAATCATCAGTGACTCACTTTATTATCAAACACCAAGGGACCAAGATGTGTATGTAACAGTAGGTGTAACTATTTTTAATCTGTCGTCGCAAATGAGACGATTACCGATGATACATCTTTTCTTGACGCGTTTGGTACTAATCCATTTTCCATTGGAGATAATTTTCGTGCCTTACAGTAGAAGGAATATACTATTTCTTCCTGAAAATGTACATGAACCCATGAAGAAAACCTTAACTTGACAAGAAAGTAATAGACTTATTTCTCCATAGAACATATCTACTGCTTACTAATGAATTAGCGATGCAAAATAAACATTGATTGGCAGTTTTTAAACTTAATTTGCAGACAGATACTGTTAACGGGTGGTGATGCTCTCTGGTATTGCGAGAGTTTTCCTTCCGAGACTTTTATCACAGGAAGGATATCGGTAACGCCTTCATGCAGTCTTAAATCTGTTTTACTGGGGGCACATTCGTCGAATTTCGAAGGTTCCGCCTCAGATACACTTCGCACCTTACAAGGTGCTCCAACTCAACATCGTGACTTGCTTTTTAACCTTGTATCGCGGACTCCAAGGCTAACAAACCAAAAAAACAGTTTTCATCTTATTTTATTCGTATCCTGGCCCTAGTTGAATCACCAATTAGATCAGGCAGTGATAAGTGCGACGCCGATATATAGACGAACAGAAAAAAAAAAACCTTTTCCTAAGCCACTGCATACCTACGCTTTTGAAGGTTGCCCTCTGCTTAAGAGCTTTCGAAGGTCAAAAGACTGAGACATTTCAACAAGAAACAAAACAGCACTGATATTGGTAAAGGGACTTTGCATATCTGCGTTTTGTTCGTTAACGTGCTATGTTTCTGGAGAAGAAAAACTCTCAGAGTTTTCCCTTTCCTTGTATCCACAACTCAGATATGTAGTATTAGTGAGGGTACAGTTTAGAGAGTTGGTTCTGTGGTTAATTTTCAGCAATTGCAGACATAAAGGGACTGCAGAGGTTCTATTTCTGTAAGTACTCTAATTAACAAATGATAATGAAAACAAAAGTTTCTCTGTAAAGCTTGAACATAATGCCCTGAGGGTAAACACATTCTTACAGATACTCCCGAAAAAAGACCTAACAGCTATACCTGGAGCCTCTCTAAGACAGTTTTGAATTTTGTCAGCCTTCTTTCAATCTTTTTGAGGGAATCAAAGTTTAAAAGACACACCATTGTCGTGAACTGATACGTTCGCACGTGCCGAGCTCCTGTGTAATGCACTTAGTACAAAGTTCGCATCAATGTCATACTTATGGGACAAGGATGCTCATTCATTTAGGCGCCAGATAATAATGACCATTGACCTGCTTTCGTATTCTTATATTGAGTCCCTAGACTTAAATATTGTGCAAACTTTCCTATGTCACGCTATGGTGTATTTAAGGTAACCAAATTAAGGTAGAAATGTGTACGAGTTCATATTACTTGAGCGATTATGGATCTGAATAAATCTTACAGCAAATCATAGAGACGCCATGATTTCCCAAGCTGCTAAAAATTTACTTCTTCTAACAAAATGGACGGATTTGATCGCCATGCAAAAGCGATAACAAATCTGAACCATGTTTTAGACCCCATCCATCCTTTACAGGATATAAACTTATAAGCGTCGAAAAAGAGAAGATGCAGTCCATTAAAGTCGCGCACGAGAGACTCATGTCTTCGGATTCTACACTCCGATGCTCTATCACAGAACTAAAAAAACGTCGATGGAAAGATAGGCGATTAGGTACTGCACGCAGCTAGGATCAGCGATTTTAAAACTCACATTCTCTCCTATCAGTCTGTGAAACACGACCTTTGGCAAAATCTTTCCTGACTGTTTCATTATTTACATTAACACTACACTACATTCACATTTGCAGGCTTATCTTTAGAAGGCACACTGATCAAGACACTTTTGATCGTTGTATATAGAGCAAAGATTAGGCCGACGACTCTGTCAGGGGTCGAATTCCATTCTTACCAATTTTTGACAGGTATCCCTTAGCCATCCAAATTGCAAATGTTTTTATATCTTTACACAAAATTTCTCGATCAGTATTTCAACCAAGGTGCTGTTAAAACCGAAAAGGGTCTCAATTTCCATCTCCCTGCGAGGAGAAACCTGCCAGACAGTGTGAATGGGGTTTTAATCCAAATCATCGCGACAGCACTATTCAGCTCTAGTCTGAGTTTCTCAGTTACTAACTACGTGTCGGTATGACGAGGTGCCAATGGTTTGGAAAAGCTTTTGTGGTCAACATAGATAATTTTTTTATAACATGAAAATGATTCCGCACATGACCACAGGAGTTCATCTATCTTTGAATAAGGGCTTTCTCTCATTTTTTCCGACAGTCATTTCCTTCCATGCTCGCATAGTCCTTTATTAAAATTAGTTTAGTTTAGAATCAACTATTTATCTTCATTGTTAGCATCAATGTTTACAGTCATCATTGTTTTGATTATTATTTTTTTTAATGCGAATACTAGAAAAAATCACATTTATACCCCTTTGAGTTACGATTATCAATTGAATACTTTCCCTTCCTTGAATTCATTGTAGTGATTGTATCACTGAGCTAAAACTCTAATCCTTTAAAAGTAAATGCTAATGTTGTCATTTGTGGAGTCAACTGTTTATGAGAGTCAGAAAGAGCTCTAAAAGGGTGGATTACGATGACGATTTTTAATTACCATTAAGCTGCGGTTGTTTCACTAATTGACATTGTGTCTGGTCACGTTCGCTGTTCTCTACAAAATGTTCTTGCAGTCCCGAACATTTTCGGTTTCTCACGACTAATTTGCAAGAGGAACACATATATCTAGAGAAAAACGAAAGGGGCCACTGGAATCTTCAGGTACAAGTGATTGAGCTTTCACTCTTTTATAGTAACAGCGGTTTTCCAAGCATCAGTATGAAACATACCTTAAAAGAAGACATAAATAGATTGTAAGTTCCTTGAGAGAGCCCATTCGTCTTGCATAATTTCTCCAATGAGATAGGCAACCTGTAGCATTTAATTTATTTATTCTTTCGTCGTTGGCTCTTCGACAGTTTTTCCCTTTTTTTTCACATTTATAAGACTCGTTTGTTAGAAAGCGAGGTCGGTGGCAAGGAATTTGATATAATTCCCTCTGAGGCTGCGGTCGTTAAAAGGGTAGATCTAAAAATGTCAAAATTGCAATTCACCCACAATGCAAAGCTGGGAAGAGATTTTCTCGTGATACAGAATTATATACTAAGTATCTTCCTCGTAAAGCCCGTTCGGGGGACTTCGTGCGTTGCGAAAAAATTAATCCTCTCGTAACAGCAGTTAAAGGTGGATTTAGAGTCTTTCAAAGCTGTGCACCATAAAATGACTTCCTCATGTGTGATTGTATCACACGCTCTGTAATCAGTTTTTGGAAACTGAATTAATTTTATATGCGGAACTGCAGATTTCTCGTCTGTTTGAAAGACAATTCACATCATCAACATATATTCTCTTGAAATTATTAAAGTTGTGAACGTTTTTTTTTTTAAGCTAAATTTCTCGAACTTCCTAGTAATTTAGTTCGTCACTCGAGTCAATGTTGTTTCAAGAAATCTTCATGTGTACACTTTCGTTTAAGGGCCGTTGGCTTCACTGAGAATTTAAGAAATGCTAAGCCTCTTTAAAGAGAAAAAAAGTGGAAGAGTGCAACGTCACTTACATGTAGCATCGATTTAACAGGGGAGGTACATAAATACAAACCATCTAATTTGTTTCAGGCTTTTTACGAGGACATTTAATTTGTTAATAGGATGCTCCCCGAAACTCCAAACCTCCAAACTCTGATCTTAACAATCAGTATTTATTGGCTCTCATCAGTAGAGCTATGGGAACCGGATACCAATATTAGCGCTTCACAGCTAAACAGGGCTGATATTCTAACAGCTTCCTGAGAGACAAAAGTAGCATCACTTTGAGGATAAATGTGCCATCTTCATATTTTTTGTCCCGAGGCAAAATATTGGCGTGCTACTCAGCAATCCAGTTAAGACAGCCTAAGAAAAATATGAAGCTAAAGTACACACGCGAGGATTTCTGTTATGCATTTCTGAAGTTGACAAGACAACATGCCGTTAGCTACCTCTCTCAAGCGCAAAAAATTTCCCATATGAGACATAATGCTGAAGATTCTAAAAAGAAAAAGACAAACTGCAATAGCTTGTATTTTATCCTTAATGCCATTATAATTGTAATTAATTATGTGACCCATGGTTGTGCTGAGGTTTTAATTTCTCTTTAGAATAGAGAAAAGAAAGGCAAATTCATCTAAGTATCCATATTTTGAAGTCATTTACATATGTTATATTGGAATATCACGTTCTTATCCGAGATATCTACAAGTCGTTGCGCATGGATGGGCACAATTATCTCCCGACCCTATACCGACCCTCTCGTTGAAATTCTGTGCGATCCGAACGGTTTAATTCAAGTTCGTAATCTAAGACTTCTTCCCAACGGTATTCTGTAAAATCTGTACGTTCAGCTTCTTACACTGACACTTTTTTTCAAAATTATTTTTTCAAGCGGACAACGTAATATTTTTTTTAATTTTTAGACTTTTCTTGTATATTAGGTGACAAACAAAGGACATTCTTGACAATCGATTTACGATTTGTTCAAAGTTTTCAATAGCTGACCGTCATAATTACGTAAGGAAATAATCTGAATGGGAAGGATAAACATAGGGACTCGTCTACTTCTGCTTTAAACATGATCATGACTGCAGTAGCTTAAATTGCTTATCAGAAGTCCTCGTCAGAGGCCCGTTAAATAGCTCTTAATAACCAATGAGTAATACAAGAGTCGTTTCTTTATATAAGATGCATAATGAGTCAAAAGGCCGAATTAAGTGGCGGCATATGTATAGCTTTCACGCGGTTTGAACATTTTCCGTTATAACTAGTGAACATATCTTGGAATGGAGGAGTATGTTAAGCATAGTGGCCTTTACTCGCTGTTTATGTATATCGAGTTTTCTAGAAGCTTTTCGGCAGTATAGTCTGGGCGCGAGAGACCCTTTTTCAGACTGCCCTTGGTATTTTCCAAAACAAAGTAATAATAACTTCCCTATTCAACGTACCAGACATAACCAAACCTTAGTTTTATTTCGTTGTTGTAAATACTCGACGTTTGTGTAAGGAATCACTTGTCGTGCCGAGACGGCTGAAAGGGCAGCTGCATTTCTGTTCCAAAATAATTGCACAGCCCAAGGATACTTTCACAAGATTCAGGGGTCGCCAAAAATAATTCAAGTCTTTGGTTTTGCTTAAAATTACGCTGATTGCTTTTTCTTCACCTGCCTTCCAAAGTAATTTCGCGAACACCGTGTCGCCCCCATTCGCAGAGTCTTTGTCTCGGATGAGGCATGAACCATGCCTGTATGACTCATAGATTGTTTTCAGCCACAAAAGTTGTTTTTGTGTTTTGGCTCAGTGAGCTTCTTTCAAAAGAAAGAAATGTTTGATCTGGAAACAATGGTGGTGTGGGCGTTAACTTGCGCGTGACTTAGACGCTAAACAATAATCTTAAGAGATCTGCATTTGTTTTTGCTTCATAGCATTCAAGGGCATTGGATGGAAATTTACGTGAAATTTCTAGACTTCCCGTGTAACTGCATTTAACGCCTTATATCGAGCCTCTGCAACGTTAGACCAGACGAGGGGAGGCAACGCAAAGCAAGAACTGTGAGTTTTTATCTTTTTCCTTTTTGCGTTAGTTTGTTTTGAGTGTATGAAGCGCATAATATGGAATAATTGTTTCAGGATCACGAGACGCAACACAAGAAGACTCAGGAAATTCTTTCAGTTGTGGTAAGATTCAAACTTCCATTGTGTCTAAATAAGCTACATTCCATGAATAAAAAATAGACCGTCATAGGGTATGGCGCAGTACAGCTTACATTGCTAGTGCGTCACAACTTGATCAACGACTTCAGGTGTCTTACCGTCAAGAAAACAAAACAACAAACATCATTAACCTTCAAATTGTGACTCATAAGACGAAAATACAGGAACAAAAGTTTCCGGCTTACAAGAGGAAATTTACCCCATTTTTACTTTGCTAGGATCACCGTAAATAACGAACAGGACATCGAGGAAAAAAGGCGTACAATTAAGTCCAACCCCCATCATTTTCCTAAGGAGACAAATCAGGAGTACTTCACATTTTTTTGGCTAACCGATTTAATTTTTCCACATGTTGTTTACAAGAGTTTATGAGCTTTAAAACTTGAATTTCTTCGAATATAAGGACGCAGATAAGGGCTCTCAAGTAGCCTGTCGTGTATTTTTCCACTAAATTTAGTTTTTCCTAAAGAAAGAACACTTTTTATGATAAAAATTGAGAATTTTAGAAAGAATTTCCTTCATTTTACAGTCATCATCACTGTTTCATTGTACACTGAACATTAAAAAGTCCAGTTAGGGCGTGGGGTATTGCTTTCAGTCTTCGCACGGAAAGCAAAATTTGACATTGGAAGTCGTTTTATAACGTTTTCCAACTGGCATACATGGAAAGTTTTGTAAAATGTGAGCGGCGATTCGTTAATTAACGACAAAGCTAAAAAGAAAAATTGAAGGGCAATATCTTGTGGGCCTTGTTTTTGCAACTGGCCAGAAATCTAGAAAGTACGAGGGATAAGTGGTTGCCTATGGAAAATCTTTCACACATGTAGTTCATTTCCTTGGAAGGAAAAAGGCTACAACAGAAAAAGGTATCGTGTCAATCCAATCAGGATGAAGACATACACAAAATATCAGCATAGTCAATCTGGAATGGGCATTTTTTAACTGAAAAGAAAAAGAAAAAAAGGAAAGAAAACCTTTGAGATGAAAAACTCGTCTTACGCACCATATGTGAGAGCAAAACGCTCAGAGATAAATTCCTTACCATAAAATGAAACTAGTATTTTCCAAGGTAAAGTTTTTTTAATCGTAATCGTGGCCTGTATTTCTAGTTGTGGTTATTTTGATGAATTCCTTCACCTCATCTCTTTGTTACTCTTCCTCTACACTTAAAATATCGCAGTTAATGATTACTCCCATCGTTTCACTAGTATCACTGATAATAATGTAACTTTGGTCCAAACAAGAGCTGATTGTCCAGTAAAACCAAGCGGATCTCGATCTCGGTTAAAGGAAAAAATAAGTTGGGACAAACAGGGATCTGTTTTTAATATTTTTACTAAAAACGTTTTTAGTGATGTTGGTCCGAAATCTTTACAAGGTAGAGCTACACTGCTTTGGAATCTTCTTTCCCAACCGCAGCATAATAAATGTTGCAAACAATTACAGATATACAAAACTATGGCTTGTAGTACCAACATTTTCATAGGACATGGTAATTTCTACTTGGAAATATCTAGGCATGGAAAACATAAAAGATCAAGAGTATCATGCTTGTATCTGCGTGAACCGCTATTTGATTTATTTTAGTTTGCTGAGCATCGATACTCAAAAGATAGACAGATGAGAAACAGAGTTATCAGGATTTCTCTTCGCTACAAAACGCCATTCATATCAGCTAGTTCACCGTTAGAATTTTCACTGGAAAACGCTTGTAGGTTTGAGCTAGCAAGTGAAACAGCGTTCAGTATCTATTGCGTGCTAATGCAAGTCGTTATTTAAGTTCCTGTGGCCTACCAGAAAGATAGAACAAAGTTATCAGACTTGCTCCCTTAACTATGCAAGTAGCTTGGTCATTAGATGGATGGCCAATTAAGAGAATCACGACAGTAAATGAGACTGTCAGCGTCGGGCTGGCGACAAAAATATCAAGTTTGTCTCTGTGTCACGCCCCAGCGAAATAAAGCGATAACCACTAATACGAACAAATACTTCGAATTTTATTGGTAGTTACTTCCTACTGATACGTTTCCTTGTTAGTAATAAGATTGTGTGTAGAAAAGTATCGGGATAAGTGTGATTTTTTTCTGTAAACTTAGCATTTATATAGCAGTAGACAGAAAGAGTTCACTCAAAACAACTGTCTGGATTTAATTCAAATTAGTTGCTGAAACAACGACATTCGTAACATATCAGCAGGTTCTCAGTTACTTACTGCCTAATCAATAAAAGAAATCATTTTTACTGCACGGAATAAATCTATTTGATTTCTGAGCTATGAATTCATGCTCATTATTCCTGCAGCAGTATCAACATTCTCAGCTTTAAGATGGCGGGAAAATTAGTCAACATACGTGACGTTCTAAAATTCCTTTGGATCTTTATGGACGAAAGTGTGGAATACCAATATGAGTTTCCATTCTCGGATACACCTTTCAACAAATGACTTCATTTAAGAGACTTTGGTTTTGCGGAATAGTTTCATAGTTTATATTCAAATTTTCGCTATTTTAAGATTTATATAGCCTTTGTGGTTTTGCGCCTTTCATGCGGTCTTCATTCACTTACCGTGGGGCCAAATAAATGTTTACTGCGGCATCAGTTTTTATAAACCAACAACACTTTATATTCGATGTTTCAACAACGACAGATATTTTACAATGAACCCTTTGAAACCAAAGTTTCAACTGGTGTTTCATCCAAAAATCTGATATTGGCATACATCTTAACGCTACCGATAAAATAGGTCCTTTAAACCATATAACTTGATAGAACTGTCCAGTGGTTATCAGCACGAGTCTATCATCCAGGATCATGTTTTAAGACATGTCAGGATTAACGTTTTCGGTCAGTCCGTCGTGACTTTGCGATAGATTGCTGTAGTTAATTATGCTCCCATCGTATTAGTAATAAATAATGTAACTCACAACACTTCCCTGTATTGAAAATAAATTCTTTCGTCACATTCCCGTGACGCAAAATATTTAGATACTCGAAATAACCCTTAAGGAATTCCTTCAACCTTACTTTGCTGCTTGTAGTCCAGCAAAATACGTAATACAAAATGCATAGCCCCCTCGACGCTACTCTAAAAAAAAACGGCTTTGAAATTTAGATTATAGTCAGATCATCAAAGCAGTTTCATTCTGTGAGTATTCTAAATCGGCTTTGCATAACAATTTCAAGTTTGCTGTAATTTGGTTTTGTCAACTGATTTGATAATGTAAATTGGCTACCGTTAGACGTTTTGTAAGAGTAACTTTTCCAGCTGTAGCTCTTAGCAAGGGCTAACGTTCGCATCGTCGGCTTTAGAAACTCTTTGAGGCGGCCAATTTACGTTAGCAACTCTGTTGATAAAACCAAATTATCTTTTTATACCCCCCATCGACGCAACACTATAGTTTCTGTAGAAAGTTACCCCCTTAAGTCATTTGCTGTTTATAGTTCAGCAAAATATCTCATGGAAATTGCTCAGCCCCTAGACTAGAAATGTCTTTAAATAATGTACATTCAAACGAAAGAGCTTCACCACGCACTATGTAATTTATCAAATGTTAAGCTTCTTATTTCCTAATTCGCTGTTTCCAGTAGAAGACTTCATGCAAAATTGTTAGCTTGGGGGACTTTTCCAGTTTACAGTGCATTCTTTTTAAAATAAATGAAAAGAGCTAATTTACGAAATGTGTATCTTAGAGGCGTTTAAAAGGCCCAGCCTTTTACAAGCTCGCTGTTTTCTATTTCAGTAAAAATTTATAGAGGGTTTGATGAATTGAAACGATGATTATAAACGCAAGTGCTGTCTCATGATTACTTCAGTCCTGTTTGTTATTATTTAAAGAAGACTGTCACAGTTCAGTGGTGGATATCTTAAAGAATGAGCTAATTTTTTTCTGTCTGTCCACCGAATCCGTGTCAATTAATCGTTTGCATTCATAAGCACTGGTGTCCCCTTTTCTGTAAAAATTACTTTTCTAACATTCCAAGACCTCAGCAAAAAATGAGATTTGATTATTTACTAAATCTTTCAGTACTTGGTATGTTGGAAAAACTATCAATATATCCTATGTGAGGGCATGTCATGTGAGCCGAAATATTGGCATATTCGTATCCAACAAATCTGGTAATTTGCAATCGTTTCATCTTGGTCATTGTTGTTCATTTTTGGCTTAGACTTGGTTCTGAATGTTTCGTTTAAATGTTCGATCTTGTTTAAGTACAATTCAATCTAGTGTTAAAAATTTTTGATGACTCAAAACATGGCGCCATGCGGCTCCTTGCATTGGGTCCCGTTTTCGGAGTTTCAAAATTTTCATCAAGGTGTTAGTTTTTATACAAAATGTTTAAAATTAATATTTAAAATGTATTATCCAAGATGGCAAATATAGGTCTAAGTATTTGGTTTCAAACATAAAACAAAAGCAGTATCAATACAGAATGACGTCACCTTCTTCGGTCAAGCACAACTTGATTATGTTTCAATCAAAATCAAAGAGAGAGACCACAAATTTTGATGCACAAGTTTGTGGGAATGCTAGACCCGAACATCAAGCCATTCTGCCGTAATGTTGTCAATTGTAGGTAATTCCTATTAAATGATGTGCAGGTGTTTTAAAAACGTCCCAAGCCTTAGCCTCCATGAAAAACAAACAAGTATTAAAAAAAAATTTACAAAATAAACTACGGCCATCTTTCTTAACGGTGTTTTCAATCTGACATCTATTTAAAACCTTTCGTTCGTCAAAGCACTGATTCCATTCAAAGGGACAAGCCCAATATGCTCCCCTCTGCAGCTTTTTTTTTAGCTCAAGCGTCCACTGGTGCTCAGTATTACGATTAAGTAAAAAATGGCTATAGAGTGATCTATTTTCTTTGGATTTACTCCATGCAAAGAATCCTAATTCCCAGACACAAACCCCCTGATTGAGGTGATTACTCTTTGCCCTATGGACAAAACAAAACCCTCCTGTTTATGA